GCTTTGTTTATTTCTGCTACTGCAACAAATTATTACAAGTTGTCATAATTCTACATTTTCGTTTTCTTTTTCTACATAATTCTACATTTTCTTTGCTGCAGTGCTGCTCAACGTAAATACGTCGAAGTCTCTGATGCGAATCACCAGTTTAAAGTCAAAGAATGTGGTGGTGGGCGTTCATTTGAAGTTTTGATTAAAAGGCGATCGGCAGTTGTCAGATTTTACTCGGAGATTGCCTGTCGCTGGGGACCGTATTCGTCTTGCAGCCACGATAGTCAAAATATACGCCTGTCTTTCTATGTTATTTCAAAGAAACTTGAAGGTCAGTACCTTAAGTAATGTAGTATAATAATAATTATTATTATTATGATAGAGTCATTTTCATTCGTCTAACTACACCCTACTACATGCTAAGAGTTAGTAGGAATTGTTTCACAGACGGATGAAAATGACTCTATTGGTGGTGCTGCGGCTTTTGATGTTGTTGCTGTTGTTGTTGTTGCTGTTTTGTTTGGTTCTCTAGCAGAAAAAGAGCTGTTGAGTACTCCAGTTTCGAAAAACGATAAACCGTTGCTTTATTTGGCAACAGATTCTCTTGCGTAAATCATAGATGCGACCTGAGAAACCGTAAAGACCTGACCGAACACAAAAGAGAGCACGAGAAAATATGTCGTTATTACTAGCGGTTTCTTTCAAAAGTTAAATGCTGCGACAGTGTTGGCTAGCAACCTTTTAAGCCTGGTCCTCATTAGCACATAAGAGCAAGCATAACAATATCCCAGTAGTGAAACATTTGATATAAACATAAGCAAAAGATTATTAAAATCTTTTGTTGTTCCTGTATTTATGCGCTAGTGAAGGTCAATCTTCAGGGAGTGAGGTTATATTCAGCAAAAAAAAAACAAAACAAAAAACAATTTCCTTTAGAAGAAAACACTGCTGTAGTATATGTTGTAGTGTTTGAAAATATATCCACATACCAAACTGAGATTAACTGAAGAGATGTTTATGGCATTATAACATTACAAGAGGTAAAAGATGTTAATACAAACGATAACACTATATCTTATATAAACTGAAACAAACATCTTTTATTTTAAAACAAACATCACACATCTTATTATGTATAAAATAACTAAATCTCAACAATGTAATGGGTGAAGTAGTTTGCAGCTGTTGAACTATAAAAATTAAAACTCAAGTTTCAGTATTTTTATTCACCATGTCARGTGATTGATTTTGTTTGTTTGCTTCGATAAGCGGTCGATTCTGTGGCATAGTGGACCAAAGGACTCGATTTGGCAGATAATTAAGAGMAATCGTCTCTTCATCAGGTATAGAGCGTTCTTCGAATGCTTTTAAAAACATGGAATCTCCTTCGTATAAAACACGATCCATCGTCTCGGTTGTCCATGCTGAAATATCGCCACAATTCGCACTTAACAAAGCTGAAAGACTCATAAATTAAGCACATTGTCTTCCTCTAGAAATGTCGCTAAAACGACTGTCACCTTGATGAATACTTCCTCGAGTGAATAAAGTTGCACTAAACATGATAAATAATTCCAAACTCACCTTCGCAAAAGAGAAAGCACGAGGTGCACGTCGCGCATTGATGATTTGACAATAACCACTGATTACCCAAGGATTAGTGTGGGCGCAAATAACCGCTGATTACGTAAGCATTACTGTGGGCGCAAATTGTCGATCGCTAGCTAGCTAGCTAGCTAGCTAGCGAGCCCATGCTATCGTCTTTCGACACCGCTTGTTATTGCGACCCAGGCTTCCCGGTTTGGTTTCGCATCGCACAGGGATCCCAATCGAAGCCCTTCGAGAATAGTGTTGCTGCTCACTTCGTTCGCAGCAACAATAGCCTTGAAAATCTAAAAAATGCGAAAGCAATGATAATGCATATTGAACTTCTAATGAGCATGTGCATGTGCCACAATTGAAAGAATTTTGATCCCTCACAGAAGAACGGCTTGTCTATGCTTAACTAATGTCTGCAGATTGATTCAAACTGATATAAAACCTAGCAAAGGTCGATAATGCGACATTAAAACTGAGGACTTTGCTAGTGTTTGGTTGCGATAAAGCGCTGATGAACTTTGACATCAGTTGCATATCAATTCCCATCATCTGACTCAATAGCTCGATGCTCATTATTTGACTTGAATTTATCATGAATTTTTAATGAGTTCTAGAATAGCCATTCAAAAACTCATTAATTATTCATGAGGTATTCAGCCAATCCCTGTTTGTAATTTGTACCACGTGAAGTAACTTGAAACCAGAGGAAGTACTCGTACCTTGTATTCTACCTTATTTCCAGTTACTTCTACCTTTTTCAAGTTACTTCTACATTATTTCCAGTTACTTCTACCTTATTTCCAGTTACTTCTACCATGTTTCCAACTACTACTAGCTAATGATAATCAAATTATTAGAAATAATCAGTTTAACATTAATTTAGTGAAAAAAGGTCTTTGATACATGACTCCCTCACGACTCGATCCCCTACCGTCCAGTCTATATGCGCCGTCTTATACCATTACACCACCGAGTTTCTGATGCGATTCCTCGGAAGATAACATACTTATAAATCTTATGGATTAGGCTCATTAGGAATGCCATGAATAGCAGACAAAGACAATTTGAATAGCTTTTGTTTCAGAAAGCCGTCCGGGAATTGAAGAACAACAAACGGTGCTTCATGTATTCAAAATTATGAAAACTGAAAACCTTAGTGGAGATGCAATAAATCAATATATTTCTGTTATATGTATTTCCTTCGCTTTTTTTCCCTCCCGAATAATTAATGAGTTTTTGAAGTCGTTCAAAGGCCTCCAATTCGGACTTGACGGGATTTCAAAGTCCTTGCAATTAGTTCCAGTCCTCGGCTAGCGCCTCGGACTGGAACTAATTGCGCGGACTTTGAAACCCCGTCAAGTCCTCATTGTCGGCCTTTAAACATTACTT